AGAGAGAGAGAGAGAGAGAGAGAGAGAGAGAGAGAAGCGCCACACATTCACAACGTCGCCCCTCCGCACCTCCTCCTCCTCCGGTGTCTTTTTCAGCGCCTTCTATTCTTCCGAGACTTCCTTTCCGTTACCTGAATTACGACGCTGGTGCCCCCCCCCCTCCCCTATACTCCCCCGCGGTGGCAGCAGCGCTTCTGTCTCCATTATTCATACGAAGAATGACATTCAAATGCACAGCGCAGTGCTCACCGGCGCCTCGCGCACGCGCACGCGCACGCCTCCGCCGCACACCGCTGCCCGGGGCGGGAGGGGCGCGAATGACGCGGCTGGCCCGGCCCCAAAGCCACCTCTAGAGTCTATCCCGCTGTTCTGAATTGCCCAATACCGACCAACCGCCTATCCACCCACCCCACAACCACCTGACCCACCTTCAACTAGACGCTTATTGGCGTGGTTATCCGGGAGTTGGGTATACTTTTCTTGTTGTCACGCTAATTTTTGGTCTATATTACATTGTTTATTCCAAGTAAAGTAAATGTCTTTGCAAGTAAATGGTTTAATAGAATGGGACATTGACACATTTTACACAAGGAAGGGGGCTCAGATCGGAGTTGTCTTACTGGTTAGTACAAATGTAACAAAAACTTATGTTAACTTACGTAAACCTAAATTCTAAGAACTTCTTTCTTGGTGGATAAGCATTTTCTGGGTGTTAAAGACACGGATGGCGGCCCACCACCGGCACACTCAACCATTTAACCAGAGACTCCACCCAGCTGGATATTATAATCACAAAGAAGCCCACTATCTTTACAGGCAGAGGTGCCTGCAGGTGGAGATCGGCGGAGGGCCGGTCGCGTCGCCACCGCGTGGCCACCTGCTGGTGGTCGCCGTCAGCCGCCTGCTGGTCCCAGGCGGTGGTGGACGCGGCCATCCCTATCTTGCGCCAACGCTCCTCGTCGATGAAGATCTCGAACTCGAAGTCGCTGTTGCTTCGGTCTTGATCGCAGGCGAAATGCACTACACTCATTGTTGGAAGTGCTCCTGCTTCCCGGAACCCTGGCACGATCTCACCCACCGTGAGTCCAGGGAGGATATCGTCAATGTCGGCCATCTCATGCTCAACCACCATCGACTCCGTCTCCGCCACTAGAAGCTCGTCCATAACCTTATGCACCCAGATGCACGCGCACGGGGCCCTCGTACAAGCACTGCACACTTTCCTTTTCCCTAGAACATCATCGAGAAGCTCGGATACAGAAGGTCGCCAGGAGTTTGCCCCAACTGCATACTCGTTGACAGTCCGACAGTCGAGGATGTGCACTTTGCTTCCAGAACGGACGCCGTATTCCCACAATGTTCGCTCGTTCGCTAGCAGCTTGCCGTCGTGTCCGAGTTTCACTTTTTCAACGTCTCCAGAGAAAAGGACCTTCTCAATAATCACCCGTTTGAGCTCCTCTACAGTGTCGGAGGGCGCGCACGAGACAACGTATTCATCGCTACACTCCGCGAAAGGGGAGAATCGGAGGCCGAGATGGTAATACACTGAAGAGACGCGGAGGTCTAGCTTGTCGCACTTCTCGTGCGTCAGCACAGAGCTCGCGTCCACGCCAGCCCGCCTCAGGGAGACCTCGGGCTCGAGCACCACTCCCCCTAGCCGTAGCTGATAGAATCGGCCCTCAAACGGGTGCAGGTCGAGCACTTTTTTGAGCACGTCGGTTACTCGGTCATCCAGGCTGGTCCACACGAGCAAGCACCCAGCATCAGTCCTAGAACGGTTTGAACAAAATGTTTTGGGTTTGGTAGGCTCACCCAACCCTCCTGCAAAGCGTAAACCCGCAAGCCGTAAATGAACGTTTCCGAAACGCACACACGTCCTCACCTGACTGGTACTTGGATGTCGCCGCGATGACGGAGGACAAGTTCCGCGCATCCTCGCGAAGGGAGGCCACTCTCAGCCAGAGGAGCATGCTCGTCTACTAGTCGGCCCTCGTCTAGATACAGGCCGAAGAGATGATAACGCCGTAAAACAACGCCTCGCTGGCGCTGGGAAAACAAAACCACAAGAACAACACTATTCGTTTCTGTGCGATACTGGAACCTTTTAAAACGGCCGGAGCTGGAGACAAAACATATCACACCCTCTCACCTGCCTATGAGGACTGAGTAACAACTCCAATTCCTGGTGCATAGAAGTGCCAGAGCTGTTAATGTATTCACTACATGTTCCACAACCTAGTCAGATAAAGTCAAAGTCCCCTCACCCTGCGGTCTTTGGAGACCTTCAGCTTGGCCTTGATCCTACGCCTGACCTCCTGGCCGCGGTCGCTGGGGTCGGCGCGCACAGTCACGACCACTGGGTCCCTCTCGGCCGGCCCGGACAGCCGCACCGTCACCGTCAACTCGACGCAGCCGCGCTCCGCCACCGTCAGCGTGGACAGGCAGGCCACGCCGAGGTCCTGCAGCGTCCGGGACTTCTCCATCGGGGCGCCGTCCTGCTGCAGCTCGTACAGCCACTCGGGGTGGTTGAGGCGCAGACGGCGGCGCACCCGACGCCACACGCTGGCCACCGTGTCGGACGACTTGGCCTCGAGGAAGAAGGGTCGGCCCTGGCGGAAGTAGTTTCGGTGGAGGTGAACGCAGGCGTACAGAGAAAAGCCGGATCACACTTCGGGGCGCTTCATCTGCAACGTACATGATTGCGTGACTGTTCGACGAGCTGTACGTAGAACCACAGGTTGGGGCCAGAACGGTGCTGCTCGGTGCAGACGTACGCCCTGGGGAACAGGCGGCCAATATTGGGGAACAGCTTGGCCACCTTGGCGCCCTTCACAGGAATCCTGCCACCGGAGCCTCTGACAGTCTGTAGCTCGAACGGAATACCAAAGCTCTCTTCCACCTTATACTGTAAAAAATATCGTATGATTATTTTCCTTTCCGCTGTCTTGCAGCGTATCAGAGCACGCACCGCAGCCAGTGGGCCACCCACGACAAGTCCATCAGACGGCAACAGAACGACTAAGTTCCGGGTGTAACTGTGAATACGTGCAGCAATGTTGCGGGTTTGCCTACTCTTTCCACCCGTAAGGGGCCATGGCCCCTGAGGCCATATTGAGTATGCAATCCCGCAACACTGCTGCTTATTCACAGTTACATCCGGTACATTCCCGTCGGGGTGAAAAGGCTCTTGACATGCATGGCGCTCTGCCGCACCTTTAGAATGTCGAGGGGGTCGGAGGGGTCGTGCTCGATGATCTTGCACCCGTCCGGGGTGGTGACCGCCAGCGGTACCTGGCCCTCCAGGAAGAGGCCGTGGCCCCAGGTCGCCGCCGCCAGGTCGTCGGCCGGCTCGTCCTCGTCCGGCACGCGCGGCGTCGCGTCCAGGTGCCATCGGGTGCGCACTACGGCGTCGTCGGCGTCCTTCTCCAGGACGCGCTGGTCGAGGTGGTCCCTCAGCGGCCGGAGGTACATGGTGCGGCCCGTGCTCTCGTCCTGCGTCACGTCGTATCTGCGCAACGTCACCCGCGGCCACAATGACAAGACGAAGGACAACAAAAGACTTGAAATTTTAGATTGTAACAAAAAGAGATGAACGCGGGGTGGGAGGACGACAGGCGAGGGGTAGGCCCCCTAGGTATTCCATGTACACACTCAAAATTAAAAAAAATTAATTCAGGCATTCCAATAGCATTCCACCAGAACTTTTCCAGATATTCCAAAATTATTCCAGGTATTCCAAAAGTATTCCAGATATTCCACAAATATTCCAGATATTCCACAAATATTCCAGATATTCCACAAATATTCCAGATATTCCACAAATATTCCAGATATTCC